AGAGGAAGAAAAAAAGAGTAGGTATTCTAAATTAGACGCAATAAAGGAAACTGCAGGACAAGAATACAGCGCACTAAGTTTATTCGTAAAATTCTTAATTTTTCTTATGCATAGATTATAAATACTAGCAATGATTAAACATGCGATAGACAAACGAAACATACGTTAATGTAAGCATCACTGAAGCCCAAGACTTGCCAAGCAACAAGTTGGTCTATAGTACAGAATGAACTATTGTTAATACATTGAATGTTAGTTTAACGCCTACAAGCTTTAGTTTATGGTTATGAAGAAGGTGACTATGTTAAGGGTAATAAATTATAATGTCTAACTTGTACTCTTCTCCGAGTATAATTAGAATGATCAAGTCAAGAAAAATGAGGTGGGCAGGGCATGTAGCACGAATGGGGGAGACGAGGAATGCGTATAGGATATTGGTGGGAAAGCCAGAAGGAAAGAACCACTGGGAAGACCAAGGCGTAGGTGGGTAGACAATATTAAAATGGAACTTAGAAATATGGGATGGGATGGTATTGACTGGATTGATCTGGCTCAGAATAGGGACCAGTGGAGGGCTCTTGTGAACACGGTAATGAACCTTCGGGTTCCATAAAATTCTGGGATATTCTTGAGTAGCTGCAGAATTGACGGCTTCTCCAGAAGGTCTCAGCTCCATGAGTAAGTAAGTAAGTAAGTAATTAATTTTTTTAATGCTAGTGGGGTGGGACTAAGTCCCTTGTACTGCGGCCACTTCTGGCCTATTGTACCAGCCCCAGATGATAGGTGAGGGTGATTGTGGAGCAGTTGGTGGAATGAAGATTGGCAGGGGAAACCGAAGTACTCGGAGAAAACCTGCCCCAGGCCACTTTGTCCACCACAAATCCCACTTGACCAGACCCGGGTTCGAACCCGGGCCGCCGCGGTGGAAAGCCGGCGACTAACCGCTTGAGCTATGGCGCGGCCTACAACTAAGTAAGTAACAAAATAATTCTTAGAAGAGAAGAGCCGAATCTTGGGTCAAACACGGGATAAAATGTGAAGCGAACTGAGCAAGCCACGTTTTTTCGAGAATTACGCTCCGAGTTTTTAAGTTGGTTCGTGGGCAGTTTTTCTTTATTTTGACTGTTACTGAGAATGTTATTATTACAGCAAATATTCATGTACTCTCTTCCTTAATTTCGACTCAGTCTTCTGATTGCATTATTATTATTACTTGTATCTACCTTTGCGCTGTCTGTAAGTGGCCTTGCGGCTGTTGACTCGGCACATAAATAATAAAGAACTTAATTGAATTGAGAATTGAATTATTATTATTATTATTATTATTAT